TGGACACGAATGTTTCAACCTGGTCTCTGAGCTCAGCTATTTCACCTGCGGCGGACGTTTCCGCCAGCTGGTCGTCTGAGATGGAGAGGTGGGGAGCGTCAGCTTCCCTGTGCCCCCTGTCACGGGGAGTGCATGGCCTCTGAGAGGCAGTACGCGGGCTCGACCTACTTTCGCCGTATGGGCCTGGGGCCCCACGACGGTTGCGCGCGGACGAGCTGCGACTCGGACCATGTGTGTGTGGCGTCTCATCCGATGATACCTTGGGATACTGCGTCTGCGGCTGTGCCGCCACTGGTCTACTGAGTTCCTCGAAGGTAGCTACGTGTTCCGCAACAGGAACGGTCGCAGGGCTGGGGGTACCAGCATCTGAGGTCCATCGGCGGTTAGCGCGAAAGCGCCCTGGAGTATCAGGACCAGTGAGGCTTTCGCCTGACGAAGTTGGGATTGCTCCCGACTGAGGAGGAGATGGGGGATCGAAGGTAGGCGTGTGGAACTCCTTCCTTCCTGTTCCTACTCCTTCTCCTGTCCCCCCGCGGGCTGCGCTGCGGTGAAGTTCAGCAGCTAGCCGCGCCTCGGGTCCGTCGGAGCTGGGGGGGGGTGGGGGGGGGGTACCTGGGACACCAACACAGTCCGCACTAAGGCTCCCCAACTCATCACCGAGCCGCCGCGCCGTCGGAGAGCTCGGACGCGAGGCCCCGATGGACCCCTTACAGCGCATGCGCCGCTTGGGTTCCATCGAGGCCGCGTGCGAGGTCGCGACGCGGGGTTCGATGAACGGTGAGCTTTAAAGGGCTGATAACCTGTGTATGGGGTTGAAGTACAAGGGTACAGAACCCCTGATCCGCTGGTAGAGGGAAGGAGGGATAGATGGATGTCTTTCCCTCCTGCACGATCAAAGGTCTGATCGATCTGTCCCAATACCTGAGCCCAAACGGCCAGGTGCAGGAGAGGTGAGGAGAAGGAGTATATATGAGGGTATTACACGGGTTCTATTCACACACCCCCCTGGGTTCCCGCCCGAGCACGATAGCGGAATTGCGTGGCAGCGCCAACTGGATAGGGTGTGCCAGCAACTCTGGGCAACACTGGGAAACATTGGGCAAGGCTGCGCAACATTAGGCAACACTGGGCAACATTCGGCAACACCAGCCACCACCCAGCCAACACCAGCCAACATTAGACAAAACGCGCCAACTTCCGCCAACATCAATACAGAATTTGCCATCATCAGCCAACATAAAAGCAACACCAACCAACACCAGCCAACATCCAGCCAACACCAGCCAACACCAGCCAATATCTGCCAACACCCGGCCAACACCCAGCCAACACCCAGCCAACATCAGCCAACATCTAGCCATCATCATCATCATCATCATCATCATCATCATCATCATCATCCTCATCATCGTCATCGTCATCGTCATCGTCATCGTCATCGTCATCGTCATCAGCATCATCATGATCATCGTCACCATCATCAGCATCAGCATCATCATCATCATCATCATCATCATCAATAACATCATCAGCATCAGCATCACCATCATCATAATCGTCTTCCGCCTCTTCATTTTCCTCCTCCTCCTGCTCCTGCTCCTGCTCCTGCTCATCCTGCTCATCCTTCTCCTCCTCCTGCTCCTCCTGCTCCTCCTCCTTCTCCTCCTGCTCGTCCTCCTCCTGCTCCCGCTCCTCCTCCTCCTCCTCCTCCTCCTCTTCTCCCTCCTCTTCCCCCTCCTCCTCCGCCTCCGCCTCCTCCTCCTCCTCCTTCTCCTCCTCCTTGTCCTCCTCCTCATCCTCCTCCCCTCTTCTTCCTCCTCCTCCTCCTCCTCCTCCTCCTCATCATCATCATCATCATCATCATCATCATCACCCTGCACCTTCTCAGCTTCCTCCACGTCATCGTCATCGTCCTCGTCCTCTCCGCCTCGACCTCCTCATCCTCCTCCTCCTCATCCTCTGTCTTCTCCAACTCCTCCTCCTCCTCCTCCTCCTCCTCCTCCTCCTCCTCCTCCTCCCCTCCCCGCAAAATTCTGTCGGCGGTGTCTAAATTGCGTAGGCGATAGTATTTAACTGTTTTGAGCGCTTCTCTTTGGGACAAACAAACAAACCTAATGACTACAACCTTACGCACGTTGGTGCTACATTGTAAGAGGAATAATGAAACATAGTGTCAAAAACTGAAGAACAGTAAACATATTGAAAAATGGTGAAAATATCGAAAATATGAAACATAAAAATGATGAATCGTGATAACAAGAAATATATCGTATACTAAACTTGCACCCTACAGCAACACTATAAATACAGAGGATCACGAGAAGAGAGAGGATCAGGAGAATGAGAAAGAGGAGGGCGAGGATCGGCCTTCTCTTCCTCGTCCTCCTCCTCCCCTCCGGGGATTTCCCCGATCTGCCTGGAAACGGAACAGGAGGGCTTCTCAGCGCCTCCTTAGGGAGGCTCCGGGGACGGATTTTCTGAGGATGTCCCACTCTGCTGATCCTCGCTTTCCTCTGCTGGTCCCCCTCTCCTGCTCCACGCCCGCCCGATCCTCACCCTCACGATTTTCATTCTCGCCATCCTTGCTCTCCTGACCCTCCTTCTCTACATCCTCACCCTCCTGCTCCACGCCCGCCTGATTCTCACCCGCGTGACCCTCACTCTCCTGATCTTTCCCCTCGCGAGCCTCGACCTCCTGATCCTCACGTTCATTCTCATGTCGATAATTTTCCTCTCGCCGAGAAGCGCACGCCCCTTCTACTATGTATACAGAAACTGCAGATCAACCGCAGAACGGCCGGCTGTAAATAATTACCCTGGCGACGTACCCAACCCCTGCGCAAAAGCGGGGCGCAAATAGTTTAGGATACTTTATAAGGGGGCGATGACGGAGCGAGGGTTACATATGTCTACAGACGGAATTCGGGAGACTCGCAAGACACTGGCTACAGGAAAAGGGCTTGATAAAGCTGATGATTTACAATTCCTGAGCACTCCTAGCCACTTCGAAAACGGGGATCACAGCAGGCCTCGAAAGTGGCGACAGGTTCACAGATCGCAGCCCCGCAGGGACGGCGAGGTCTCATTTGAATCTGCCCGTGGCCCTCACTGTGCTGGGCCCCCCAGCAGGCCTCGAAAATGGCGGCAGTTTCGCAGATCGCAGCCCCCCAGGGATGGCGAGGTCTAATTTGAATCCGCGCGTGGCCCTCACTGTGCTGGGCCCCCCAGCAGGCCTCGAAAGTGGCGACAGTTTCACAGATCGCAGCCCCCCAGGGAGGGCGAGGTCTAATTTGGATCTGCCGCGATTACCCTCTATGCTGGACCCCCCAGCAGGCCTCGAAAGTGGCGACAGTTTCACAGATCGCAGCCCCCCCCCCCAGGGATGGCGAGGTCTAATTTGAATCTGCCGCGATTACCCTCTATGCTGAGCCCCCCAGCAGGCCTCGAAAGTGGCGACAGTTTCACAGATCGCAGCCCCCCAGGAATGGCGAGGTCTAATTTGGATCTGCCGCGATTACCCTCTATGCTGGACCCCCCAGCAGGCCTCGAAACTGGCGACAGTTTCACAGCCCCCCGCAGGCAAGACAGAAAGAGGCAGGAAAGAGGCGGGAGGCGGGAGGAGGAAGGACGCGACCACACTGCTCTATTCAAAACGAATACCCAACCAAGGAGGGTTGGGAATAATAATAATAATCATCATCATTATCATCATCGTCATCATTATCATCATCATCATCATCATCATCATCATCATCATCATCATCATCATCATCATCATCCTCATCCTCATCCTCATCCTCATCATCAACACCATCATTAGCATCGTCATAAGCAGCAGCAGCATCATCATCATAATAGCATCCTCATCATCATCATCATCATCATCATCATCATCATCATCGTCATCATCATCATCATCATCATCAGTATCGGCATCATCATCATCGTCAGCATCATCATCAATATCGTCGTCGTCGTCACCCTCATCACCATCATGATCGTCATCGTCATCAGTATCCTCATCCTCATCCTCGTTCTCATCCCAATTATCCATGCCATCATCATCAACAGCATCATCACAATCACCATCACCGATCACCATCGTCTGAATATTCTTCATATTATGATGATTGGTCGTGTTCGTCTTATTCTTCATCATCAACATCATCCTCATCCTCATCATCCTCATCATCAACGTCGTCGTCTCCGTCGTCGTCGTCATCGTCATCGTCATCGTGATCATCGTCGTCGTCAACGCTTGGGAGCCTCTGTGCCGTTGCATCTCCAAACCATGTTTTTTCTATATGGGCGCGGGGAAACGATAAGGCAGGTGTTGGGCGTCAATCGGCGATTCCCAAGACTGGGGCGTACGATGGAATCTCGTCCACTGAGATCCCAATCATCAGAACAGATGGCGCGCACCAAACTTCTCATGCCCAACGCTTCTCCATAGCAGGCGGGCATGGTGTCAGAAGCCATGAAAACAATTCCATGGCCATCTGAATAGGAGAGAGCCCGGGTGAGTGAGGAAAAGGAGCACAAGGAGGAGGACACTGTGTGAAGGGAGCCAGCGCCGTCAAAGTAGTGGGGTTACTCCTTAGCAGGAGTCAAAACGAGCCCCATCTCTTTAAGAGGCAAGGGCTTCATGGCAGGGGGGCAATTAGCCTGCCCTGGACAGACGGCAACGACTCAAAGAAGGACGGCGCTGGCACTGTACGCGAACACGTCAGCTGGATATTGTGTGCCCCAGACCCCAGCCATAGCGGTGCACCGAAGCACACGCCATGTTGCGCTAAAAACGGGAAATCACAAAAACGGGCTTCGACATATGCTTCACATCAACCGCTACAATACGCAGAATCCCGTTCAAGCCAACTCCATCCGCGCAGCAGGCAGTATCTGAATTCACGAAGAAGAGCCATAAAGATTTGCATGTAAGTGTATGCGCTGTACACACAGTAAAGACATGCAGCTCGGCCACGCCGAGCACCCTGCCGGGCCTAGGAGGCCAGAGAGGGGGCATTCGCGGCGGCCCGAGCCGCGGGCTCTGGCTCGAGGAGCCCGGAGAGCCCGGCCAGCACCGCACGGCTGCGCACGCCGCCCATGACCGCCAAAGCGCGGGCGTGGCTGCCCTCGCAGGAGAAGAGGCTCCTGATCTTGGCGGCGGGAGGCTCCAGCTCCGCAAGGCCCCCGGCTGCCTCGAGGAGCACCACCCAGAGGCTCCAGCAGTCCGCTTGCTTGGCGACGCACGGCGCCTCCAGCGCCATCTCCGGGGCGATGCACGGCAGATCCCCGCAAACCGTGGTCGACGGCGTCGACTCCACGCAGCACGTCGCCGAAGAGAAGTCCACCAAGCGGCAGAAGGGCGTTCCCGAATGGTCATCTACCACGATGTGACCCATAGACACTTGCCTGTGCACGATGTCCCGCGAATGGCAGAAGGCCAGCGCTCCTGCTATCTGCGCGGTGCAGTCCACAGCATCATGCAAGTCGACGCGATACCCTGGCTGGTCCAGGAGGTGCTGGTTCAGATTCTTCTTGCCCCCGACTTCGAGGGCCGAGTACACCCGCGAGAAGCTGCGGGTGTCGGAACACGTCCCTCATGAAACGCAACTACCGAAACATGTTCTCCACGTCCACAGCAGTTACATAGTTTGATGTGTCACAGACCTTGAGGCCAACTTTCTCGGTCTCGCTCCGACGCGCAAGGAACACGCTGTCATTTCTTCTGTTCAAGCGGCGCATCAGCCGGTAATCGCCCACTCTGGTTGCCGTCTCAACAAGGTTGTGATCGATCGGGGGGGAAGTCGTACATCATAGCATTCGGGATGCTCTCCCACAGCAGCTCGTAGTGGTACTCCAGCATAGCCTGCGCATTCTCGTCCGCACTGTCGAGCGTGCACTGTACACGCTGGGCATGTATGTCAAGCCATGCCTGCTCTTGGTTGAGCTTCGCGTACAGCCGATCTGGATCCTCGCCGGGGCCGAGCATCACTACGTCGGCACCCAGGCCGAGGAGCACGTCGTGGCGTGCCATGAGCATCTTCACGTACTCACGGTTCTTGTCGCCTGGGATCTCGAGCAACTGCAGCAGGACAACACAAAAGTCGCTGTTCGGCTCGATATGCTTCAAAAACAAATGTGCCATGCGCTTCTCGTACTGCCTTTCGAATACGCACGGCACCAGCAAGCTGGTGCACCCAGACACCAGCGGCACTATCTCCCTCGCGTCCCAATGGCCCTCGTGGGCGGTGTCCGGCGAAACGAGTCTGCCCGGCTTGTGCGGCGAGCCCCACGGCACCAGGGTCGCGAACGCGAAGTCCTCGGGGAGCCGCGAGGCCATGCGGGTAACGTAGCTCTCCACGATGCTTCGGCTGGACGCGGGCGGCAGCCTGCCCGCGCTGGGGCTGATCATCCTGGCCTGCACTGCGCGGTGGCGCAGTTCCGCGCTGCACAGCGCAGGGCCTGGAGCCACAGGGGCCGCGGCTGCGTCTCCGAACCATCTTGGGGGCCCCGGGAGGCCCGTCCTGGATAATACCGTCCTGGGGCCCGCCAGAACCGTCCTGGCTCCCTTTGGGGGGCCGTCTGGGGACGTCTTGGTGGGCTGTGGCCGTCTGGGCGCTCCCTAGGGGGCATATTGGGGTCCTCGTGGGGGCCCCCTTGGGACCCTCCTCGGGCTCCCCTCGGAGCCTCTCGACGTCCTCTGGGGCCGTCGCAGGCGTCCTGTCGGGGCCCCGTTGGACCCTCTTGGGGCCCTCTCGGGCAGTCCTGGAGCCTTTTGGGGGCCGTCTTGGCGCGGCTCGCAGGGCTTTGGCCGTTTTTCGGCTGGAGCCCTCTGGGGGGGGGGCCTCTTGGGGCCTTTTGGGCCCTCTCGGGGGCCTCTTTGGGGCCCTCATGGGCAGGTCCTGAGGGCCTCTGGGGCCGACCTGGGCCGCCGCAGGCCCGACGAGGCGAGAATCCCCCCCAAAAAAAAGATACAAGACCCATATCCTCCTCCTCCTCCTCCTCCTCCTCCTCCTCCTCCTCCTCCTCCTCCTCCTCCTCCTCCTCCTCCTCCTCCTCCTCCTCCTCCTCCCCCCAAAAGATACAAGACCCATATCGGAGGCGAAGGGGTGGGATCGCAGCGGAACGGAGACCCCCCGCCGGGAGATCGTTCCGTTCTGCTCGTGTCGTGCGTGCGGGCGAGGCGAAGCCGCGTGGGCGCGCGAGAGGAGTGGACCCGCCGCTGCTGGGGCGAAGACAAGACAAATGACTTTCCCCCGTCCGTCGGTCCGTCCGTCCGTCTCCATCCCGATCCTATGTCAAATACTGAACTGGCACGAGTGCTGCCACCAGTGCTAGTACGAGCACGAGCACGACTACGAATACGAATGCTCAAGCCAACGCGAGTAATAACACGGGTATTGACGCATCGTGAGGCCAAGGGGGACCGCACCGCCCTACCGATTCCGGATCCGGGACGGCACGGGACGACGCGGGAGTCCATCCAAAGGAGGCCACGGGAGAGGCCCCACCGATGCCGGATCCGGCAGCGCACGCTATGGCTACCCAAGCGCCCCACCCCTGCTACTTCTGCACGGCTCCTGCGAACAGTGTACCCGATTTCCTGGCAGGAATCTCCTGGACAAGCCAAGCTGACTTGACATCGAGAACCAGGAAAAGCAACAGGGGCCCCCTTCCCCTTCCCCCCCTCTCCCACCCTTCTGCGCTCTTCTCCACTGCATTCTTTTCCACCCTCTAAACTGGGGTCGGCGATGCTGAAGCGGCCCAGGGACACACACATCAATAGACACATATCCCAGGCTTCCTCATGTGTTCCATATGTTCTGCATGTTCGTCTTCGCCCCCACTTCCCATACTTCGCCCCCACTTCCCATATTTCTCATATTGTCCTGGGAATCGAACATTGGTTGTCCCTGCGTGTTGTCCCTCCTGAAATATACGTCGTCGATGGATCGGCGAGAGGCGCCCCTGGTCACGAAACACCGCACGCTCTTAGACGGGGTGGCGTCCCGGGACCCTGCTGGCGATGAATGGGAGGTCGGGGGCGGACGCCTTCCCCCTGAAGCTATCCCTCCCTCAAGATTGGAGGCCTCCTAGATGGGGTCCGAGCAGATGGGGTCGAGGGATCGCGCCGCATCGCCGATGCATCACCGACACACCGATGATGCATCGACGATGCATCGACGATGCATCGGCAATGCGTCGGCGACGTCGGCGATGCGTCGGCGACGTCGACGTGGAGTAAATCGGGCTCCACATCGAGCCGCATCGCCGATGCATCGGCGATGCGGCGCGATCCTCCAACCCTATCTACCCGGACCCCATGTGGGAGGCCTAGAAAGATGCCCCTAAGCTTTCGGGGAATCACTCGGCTCTCGGGCGGCCGTTCGACCCGGGCATCCCTGGAGCGCTTCCGGCGAGGCGCAGCCGCTGGAAGGCATCCCGAAGCCGGCAAGCCGATGAGATCCAACGAAGACGTTCAAACACATCGCATCTCGGAGTCCATCCCGCCCTACGGCTGGGAACTTTGCTCAGCGAGTCGCAGCGGCTGCCCCAACGACACGCTATACCTTGCGAGCGGATAGCGGGTCACTCCGCTCCGCGGGGCGGGAGGCTCGGAAAGGCTCGGGATGTTGACGCCTCGGGACGAGGACATGCATAGCCTGTCGCGCCGAAGCGAGGTGGGCCAGCCGGAGGAGCGACCCTGGAACTCTCCTGGACTGCGTTCCGAACAGATTCTCAAGGCGGGCCCAGCCACGGCCACGATGGCGCCCGAGGACGACCAAAACCTTTGGAAAAACGACCCTCGACCCTCGAAGCTCTGAGCCCATGAACCCTAAGGCTGTTGCCCTTGAGCGCCGCTCCCGGCGGACAGTTGCTCCAGCTCGGCCCCTCATCCCTCGTCCGTTCCTGTGGCAGGCCGGCGCGCCCTCCCAGCTCCGGTCCCCTGCCCCTCCCCCGGGGCGCCGGCCGCGCCTTCGGCCTCTTCGGGAGGACCCGGATGATCACGCCGTCTGGTCCTCCCCTCCCCCTGTGCTTCCTCCTCCTCATCCTCATCAAACCCTCCTGCTCCTACTCCTGCTCCTGCTCATCCTCCTCCTCCTCCTCCTCCTGCCCCAACGACACGCTATACCTTGCGAGCGGATAGCGGGTCACTCCGCTCCGCGGGGCGGGAGGCTCGGAAAGGCTCGGGATGTTGACGCCTCGGGACGAGGACATGCATAGCCTGTCGCGCCGAAGCGAGGTGGGCCAGCCGGAGGAGCGACCCTGGAACTCTCCTGGACTGCGTTCCGAACAGATTCTCAAGGCGGGCCCAGCCACGGCCACGATGGCGCCCGAGGACGACCAAAACCTTTGGAAAAACGACCCTC